GGAAGGAAGGGAGGGCAGTGGAAGAGCAGGGTGGGAAGGAGGGAAAGGAGGAGGGAAAGTGAATGGGAGGAGGGTAGAATATGAGAAGCAAGGAATAAAGATAGGAAGGGGAGGGAGGGGGAGAAGTGCATGAGAGGGTTGGGAAGAGAGCGAGAGAGGGTGGTGGGAGGGGAGAGAGGAGGGTGAGTGGGAGGGAGAGAGGGAGAATGGGAGAGAGAGAGATAGAGAGAGAGAGAGAGAGAGAGAGAGAGAGAGAGGCACGGTACAACACTAATTAATTACTAATTCACGCTACCTGGACCCCGGGTCTACCTGTTCCACTGTGGTACGGAAGAGGACGAACGTACATACAGACAATAAAATAGGCGGAAAGACTCTCTCTCTCTCTCTCTCTCTCTGACCCTATTACCCGACAACACACACACACCCTTCCCTCCCTCCTCTCGCCATCTTTCTACCCCTCCTTTCTGCCACTCTCCCCTCCTTCCCTCTTTCATCCATCTTTTCACTCCTCCATCGACTCCTTCACCAAGCCACTCCACTCCTTTTCTCTCCCTCTTCCCTCCATTTTCTTACCCCTCCCTCCCTTCCACAAAATTCCACATCATTCCGTCCCTTCACCACAACCCTACCTCCCTGAACCACCACCTCTCCCCCTTTCCCTCCCTAAACCACTACCCTTACATCCATCCCTCCCTCAGGTCACTTCACCCCTCCCTCAGGTCACCACCCCTCCTCAGGCCCTCCACCCCTCCCTCAGGTCACTTCACCCCCCCTCAGGTCCCTTCACCCCCCCTCAGGTCACACACCCCTCCCTCAAGTCCTCCACCCCTTCCCTCAGAGCCTCCCTCCCTCCCTCAAACCCTCCCACCCCTCCCTCAGCTCCCACCCCCTCCCTCAAACTCCACCCTCCCTCAGGCCACTCCCTCCCTCCCTCAGGCCACTCCCACCCCTCCCTCAGGCCCACTTCACCCCTCCCTCAATCACTCCACCCCTCCCTCAGGCCCTCCCTCCCCCTCTCCACACTGTCACTCTCCTCCAACACCACCAAAAATTTACTCTCTCATGGGAGGTCATTTTTATCCATTTTGCGACGATTTTTATTTTGTGCAGTGTACACGACTACATGACAGGGTGTGTGTGTGTGTGTGTGTGTGTGTGTGTGTGTGTGTGTGTGTGTGTGTGTGTGTGTACATTATCTTGTTCAAAACATAAAATATAAGTTTCAATAATGATATATCAGAAATTCATATATATTTAACATGTAATTGATATAAAATAACTTTAAATCCAGTTTATGAAAAATTCCAATTAACTAATATGGAGGAATATGAGTCAGCAGGTGTGATGCTTAATAAGTAGATATACCTCATTTAGCGCGAGGCACAGCTGGCACGGACGAGCGGGAACAGAGAGTAAGCAGGCAACATGTCACATACATCACGTCACACATAGCCATCATGAGGGAAAAAACACAAAGAACATGGGAGGATTTGGGTAACACTGATCCCATTTTCTCTGACACCTGGACCCGTTCTCTGTGATCGCCGCGGGGTAACTGTGTGAAATTCTCGGACCCGACCGGATTGGATAAAATAATATATTATTTTTTTTTTTGTATCCGGGAATCAAACATTTCCCTCAGTTTTCCCATAGAAAAATTCTGGTTTGGTTTAAAGGTAATACTTCATGAGGGTTGCGCTCTTTAACCAGCAACTTGAGGAGATTTTTCTTTAAAATATAAAACCTTTCTTGCCTCATGGAGTGCCCCAAAATTAGGAAGGAATAAGTTTTTCGTAATAAGTATAAGTTCTGTGTATTTTTTCCGTTCCGAACACTCGACTCTGACTCTACACTAGAATTCGAAAGATTTCCAACAACTTAGGAAGTACTGCTGCATTATATGATTTATCGGTGAAAAATTAATCTAACCTAACCTAACCTAACCTACTGTAGGATGAGTAGATTAGGTTTATTTCTTTTACGTCCAATAAATTATATAATGTAGCAATAGCTGGTTAATCGTACTGCCCGGCCGTGTTTATATTTAGGACGGAAAAAGTCGGCAAATTAATATTACGAAAACTTATTCCTTCCCATTTTGGGGGCGCTTCATGAGGGAAGAAAGCATTTATCTTCTATTGAAAAATATCCTCAAAGTTCTGGTTAAGGCGCACAACCGTGATAAAGTATTACCGTTTTGAGTTGGTGTGTATTGTTGTCTGACTGGTAATGTCTGAGGTCTTGGTAGTTTGGTAGTTAATTCATTGACTGTTTGTGTTTTGGTGCGATTTAAAAAATAATAGGTTACTTACAGGAAGGTTGTAACATATAGGCCTCCTGTAAAAAGATCCTATCACCTAAAGATTCACCCCCAGCTTATTTCGCCTTACGAGTAACAGCGCTAACCTAAACTAACGTTAACCTAGTCCGCTTTAACCTAACCAATACATGTTAACAAAACCTACCCTACATTAACCAAATCTACCCTAATCCACCTTGACCTAACGTACCCTAATCCATCTTGACCTAACGTACCCTAATCCACCTTGACCTAACGTACCCTAATCTACCTTGACCTAACGTACCCTAATCCACCTTGACCTAACGTACCCTAATCCACCTTGACCTAACGTACCCTAATCTACCTTGACCTAACGTACCCTAATCCACCCTGACCTAACGTACCCTAATCTACCCTGACCTAACCTAAGCCGGGCTCAACCCCCACAGAGTCAGTGTGTTTAACCTTCAAGTGAAATAGGCAGAGTATAAAATGGTGTCAAATCTTCAGGTGATTTATATCATATTTTTGCAGTAATTAGCAGGTAGTCAGTCAATCAGTGAGTTTCACCTGGGCGCTAATGAGGGCAGCCAATTCTAAGTCGTGAATGGCGCAACGGGGTAACGTCATTACCTCTAACATATCACTGACAAGTTGGGGGAAAATTCTCTTCCGTATACCTGACGATTAATGATAACAGGAAAATGAACAGAAGAGGTAAGGTAAGGTAAGGTAAGGTAAGGTAAGGTAAGGTAAGGTAAGGTAAGGTAAGGTAAGGTAAAGTAAGGTAAGATAAGGTAAGGTAAGGTAAGGTAAGGTAAGGTAAGGTAAGGTAAGGTAAGGTAAGGTAAGGTTGAGTTGGGTTGGGTTGGGTTACTATAGTTAATCTTTAGGTGAATTATGCTGGGGTGGAGATTCTTCAGGTGATCCAACACATTATATAACATTAGGATAAAAAAGAAAGAAAATAAATTAATGAAAGAATTAATTGAATAATGAATGATTGAGAAAATACAAAAATATATATAAATGAAAAAGAAAACAGAATAATTAATAAAAGTAGTAGAAAGAATCTATGAATAAATAAATAAAATATAATTAGGGAAATAACAAAATGAATAAGAGTCAAAACAGGATAAAAACTGATTAAAAACAATATAATAAAATAAAAATACGTAAAATTTACACACAAAATTAGCATTAAACTCCCGAGGAATCAGTTGAAATTGGCACTATTTCCTCTCAAACTTTCTGAGGAAATGAGGGAGAAATGGGCTTGAAATTGGCCAAAAGTCAATTGGTTAAAAATCAATTTAAATCTTTCATAACTTCGAAATAAATTTATATAAAAACCAGTCCAAAGCTCTTGAAAAATCAGGCAAAATTGAAACATGAAATCAGGTTAAAAACTGAAGAAAATAATCATCCACTTTTAAAATTTTCATCAAGAATCAAGAGAAATAAAATTGGTGTAAGATTAGCATAAAAATTTCTTCGGAAAAACCAACTGCGTTTTAAATTGTCAGAAGATTAAACCGAAAAAAAAGAAGAAAAAAAATCTACGCAAATTACTTACAAAAATCACATTCTTGAATAAAATATATCACCTTAAAATTTCCGACATCGAGCTTAAAATCTTACATAGAAAACGGTAGTGAGGGAGGAAGGAGGGAGAGGGCACTTGCAATAACTGTTTAAGTCCATTACCGTAAATAAACAGGCCATAACCCAGGTGGGCTTAACAGGAATCTATACCAATTGATCACCAGGAACAGACATTATCCACAATGCCGTGTTTTAACGAGGGGAGGAGACTAGACGCCACGATAAAGACACACACACACACACACACACACACACACACACACACACACTGTACGATGAAAATAATACCAATCACTAGGGCTTTTGGCGTCAGGTGATGGCTCTCTCTCCACACCATTTCCCTGGTCTGTGGGGGGAGGGGCTGGGAGGGGGGGGGGCGGCCACGTCGGAATAGAGAGTGACACTTGTCGTACATGAAGTGCCATTTTGTCGTAGAGGAAGTGCCAGTATACCTGCCAGAGTGCCGCCTCCTATAACACTTTACGGCACAACTGTCCTCATCCCCCCCATGATAAAATCTTGTTTTGATTTTCATGAATGTCTGAGTAAGTGCGTCATTGTCCTGAACGTGTTGTGTTGTGAGTTTTGTGTTGTGAGTGTGTGTTGTGAGTGTGTGTTGTGTTGTGTTGTGTTGTGTTGTGTAAGGTAAGTGAAGGGTAGGTAAACATATGCTGAGGTAAGAGTGCATGACTGGGTAAAGAGTGTTGGGTAAAATATAGGTAAATGAGAAGGTTATATCAGCGCTATGTTGGCAGGAGGCGAGTAGTGTATATTGATGAGGGAAGAGGGTGTTAGGGAGGTCACACACACACACACACACACACACACACACACACACACACACACACACACACACACACACACACACACACACACACACACCTGGTAATTGGATCTACATAATACACAAGTTAATAATATACACCTGACTTGTACCTGTAATTAAGCTACATATTATACAAGATCCGGTTATAATAACACTAATGGATAAATAAATAAACTAGTGGTGATTTATACGGATAATAACCAGACAATTTGTACCGGATTATCGGTTTATGACTCATACGGAAGATGGGAGAATTACTTAACATGTATTCGTTCTCTCGTATTCATGAATGTAATAATGTGTACATGTATTAAATGTTAGTATACATATTATTCATATTTTCCTCCAGCATTATTATTAAACGATTTGAACGCGTATATATTAGCATGTATGTATGTATGTATGTGTGTGTGTGTGTGTGTATGTATGTATGTATGTATGTGTATGTATGTATGTAGAGTACTCGTATGTATGTATATATGCATGCAAGGTTTTGATTGTATATTCATATGCGAATAAATTTGCATGCATACCTTTGACTGCGTATCAGGCGACGAGCTCAGTATACTCATGTCCTCAGCTGACTAGTTGGACAGTCACCAGCACCAGTCAGTCACCAGTACCAGGCAGTCACCAGCACCACTCAGTCACCAGTCAGTCACCAGCACCAGTCAGTCACCAGCACCAGGCAGTCACCAGTACCAAGCAGTCACCAGCACCACTCAGTCACCAGTCAGTCACCAGCACAGTCAGTCACCACCAGTCAGTCACCAGCACCACCAGTCACCAGTCAGTCACCAGCACCAGTCAGTCACCAGCACCAGGCAGTCACCAGTACCAAGCAGTCACCAGCACCACTCAGTCACCAGTCAGTCACCAGCACCAGTCAGTCACCAGCACCAGTCAGTCACCAGCACCAGCCAGTCACCAGCACCATTCAGTCACAAGTACGTATTAGTCACCATCAGCATCCAGTTAACAGCACCAAGTCATTATAGGTTAGGTTAGGTTAGGTTAGGCTAGGTTAGGTTTGGTTAGGTTTGGTTAGGTTAGGTTAGGTTAGGTTAGGTTAGGTTAGGTTAGGTTAGGTTTGGTTAGGTTAGGTTAGGTTAGGTTAGGTTGTCAGATGTTGTACAGAACACATCATATAAAAGACAAGGACCAATAAGAACCCGACATGCCCGAAAACGCGTGGAGTGTCCCAAACCACATCTTGTAAGAATGACTACATGAATATCACACACACACACACACACACACACACACACACACACACACACACCTAGTCTAACCAACACTTTCCGTATTCATATGATGCACGACCACCGAGACCTTCTTGTCTGTCCTACCGGGAAAAAAAATCTATCCTCGTCATTTCATCTTTCCACAAAAGTTTATTTTGGGTTATTTCACTTCTTAAGCAATCATGATCTTCAACAGCTTGGTTGATCATAATAACTGCCTTCTTGATCATATTAACAAGCTCGTTGATCAAAAACACTTGATTAACCAAACTTGGCAACACTGACGAACAAGACCACAACACCGGCATAGTGGGAGACTTGGCACTACTGCACTCACCCTCACCAAACAACATCTATCATGACCTACTATACACCAGGAGTTGAAGAGACATATTGAAAGTGAAACTAAAAAATGTAGTTACAACACAAACAACAGGAATATTAATGCATTACCAACATCTTTCCAGTATAAACAAATAGCTTTACCTCCACTGTACACTCACCCCCCAGAAGTGTCTTTACGGAGGGGTGTCATGAATTTCAAAATGAACACTGTGACTCCTGTTGTCTCGGTAGGGTTGACAAAATCCTTCGTCCGTTGTGTCATATTGTCTCATACAAAATTATGTGTAGAGCGAGTGTACATTAATACTCTCTTGGTACAGTGGAGGATTAACGCGCAACAACAGAGAAATGTAACGAAATTTCAGTCGATCGAGGTCCCTCCCCTCCCCACCCACTCTCGACACACATTCACCCCCACGGACAGACATAAGGGGCTGGACACTGCCTAAGCTTGAGGAGTAATATTGATTATCGACGTCTGTCACTTTTAATTTCTTCCTTCATTACTTGGAGTGACGGGCAGCCACACGCACCCAGGAACAGACAGATGTGCAGACAGACACACACGAACAGACAAACACACAAATAGATAAACGCAAGAACAGACAAACACACGAACAGATAAACAGAAAATCAGACAAACACACACAAACTCAAACAAACACCCACACAAACAGACAAACACACGAAAGGTAAACACCCCGTTCACGTTCTTCGTCTGGGACAGTGACTCAGGTAAACACACACTACCTTGACCATAAACACAGGTGTGACCCAACATCTTCGTCTTACCTCAAGATGATGGGGGGGAGGGGGGGTGGGCGGCAGTGTCTCAAGCAGGTAACTCACTCTCCCTCACCTGTAATTAGAGAATGAGCGTTTTATTATTGAACACGTTGATGACTATACCAATCTCTTTCTCTCTCTCTCTCTCTCTCTCTCTCTCTCTAAATAATAATACCGTAATAATGATAATAACAGCAACAACAACAACAATAATAAAAAAACATCAAAAACAACAATAATAACAAAAACAACATAAAAACAACAATAATAACAACAGCTATCACATAAAGCAAAAAGCAAAAAATGGAAAGAATCATTAAGTCTCATTTTAACGTGTCTTTACCCGGGACTTCCGCCTTAACGGCCGCTAATTATCATCGCCGGGTTAATATTACGGGAGGCAGCCCAAGGGAACATACGTGTGTTTTTTAAAGCATTATTCTCCCCCCCCCCCCAGGAGTCAAGACCACGTGTGTAAGATTAGCTCTCTCTCTCTCTCTTCTTGTTGGTGAGAGAGAGAGAGAGAGAGAGAGAGAGAGAGAGAGAGATGGTGATAAATGAGAGAAGAAATCAGGGAGATGGAGAAGCCAGAGTGATGGACAAAAGTTAAGGTGATGAACGACCCAGCGTGAGTGAGAAGAGTTAAGTATGAAGGGAGAATAAGTGTGATGGAGTAGTTAGTGTGATGGAGGAGGTAGTGTGGTGGAGTAGCTAGTGTGATGGAGGAGGTTATGTAGTGGAGTAGTTAGTGTGATGGAGGAGGTAATGTGGTGGAGTAGTTAGTGTGATGGAGGAGGTAATGTGGTGGAGTAGTTAGTGTGATGGAGGAGGTAATGTGGTGGAGTAGTTAGTGTGATGGAGGAGGTTATGTAGTGGAGTAGTTAGTGTGATGGAGGAGGTTATGTGGTGGAGTAGTTAGTGTGATGGAGGAGGTTATGTGGTGGGTAGTTAGTGTGATGGAGGAGGTTATGTGGTGAGAGTAGTTGGTGTGATGGAGGTAATGTGGTGGAGTAGTTAGTGTGATGGAGGAGGTAATGTGGTGGAGTAGTTGGTGTGATGGAGGAGGTGGTGTGGTGGAGTAGTTAGTGTGATGGAGGGTTATGTAGTGGAGTAGTTAGTGTGATGGAGGAGGTTGTGTGGTGGAGTAGTTGAGTGTGATGGAGGAGGTTGTGGTGGAGTAGTTAGTGTGATGGAGGAGGTTATGTGGTGGAGTAGTTGGTGTGATGGAGGAGGTAGTGTGGTGGAGTAGTTAGTGTGATGGAGGAGGTGTGGTGAATATTTAGTGTGATGGTGGTGTGGTGGAGTAGTTGTGTGATGGAGGAGGTAGTGTGGTGGAGTAGTTAGTGTGATGGAGGAGGTAATGTGGTGGAGTAGTTAGTGTGATGGAGGAGGTAGTGTGGTGGAGTAGTTAGTGTGATGGAGGAGGTAATGTGATGTAGTTGTTGGTATTATGGAGAAGTTAATGATGAGTAGTTAGCGTGTTGGGGAAGTTAGTGTGATGGCGCAGTTAGTAGGTAGGGTTATGGAGGAGTTAGTGTGGTGGGTAGTTAGTGTTATGGAGGAGTTAGTGTGGTGGAGTAGTTAGCGTGTTGGGGAAGTTAGTGTGATGGAAGTATGGAGATGGAGGTCGACCCTTCCTGTTGATGGTGGTGGTTTCAACTACCTAGATGGAGAAATGCCAATTACGTGGTTCAATTGTCCAGGATGCTTGTACTGCCGCTGAGATGAGAGAGAGAGAGAGAGAGAGAGAGAGAGAGAGAGAGAGACATGGTGTGTGTGGTAGCTGCTCTGACCACCAATTTACCACAGCCGACACGGCCGGACTATCACCCGCCAGCAGTCAGACTTTTGTGTTTAGATTTCTGAGTTACAAGCACCCATACAGTTTGTTCTATTCAACTGCGAAAAATAATATCATCGGATTCGTTATACTGTTTTGTTATTTCATACTTTTTTTAATACTTTTTTTGTAGTGTGGATAACGTTGGTGGGAGGTAAGTGGGTGGGGGAGGTGAGAGAGGTATGAGTGGGGGGGAGAGGGAGGGGTGGGGGAGGGTTATGGGATATGGGGTGGGGGAGGGAGGGAGGATGGGTGGGAGGTGAGGGAGGTAAGGGTGGGGAGAGGGAGTATGGGTGGGGGGAGGGTGGGGGGGAGGGAGGTATGGGGAGGGGAGAGGGAGGTATGGGGTGGAGGAGGGGTGAGAGGGAGGTATGGGTGGGGGAGGGAGAAGGGAGGTATGGGTGGAGGGTAGGGGAGGTATGGGGGGAGGGAGAGGGAGGTATGGGTGGGGAGGGTAGAGGGAGGGGAAGGGGGTGGGGAGGGTGAGAGGGAGGTATGGGTGGGGGAGGTGAGAGGAGGTATGGGGTGGGAGGAGGGTGAGAGGGAGGTATGGGTGGGGGAGGGTGAAAGGGAGGTATGGGTGGGGGAGGGTGAGAGGGAGGTATGGGTGGGGAGGGTGAGAGGGAGGTATGGGTGGGGGAGGGGAGAGGGAGGTATGGGTGGGGGGGGGAGGGAGGGAGGTGGGTGGGGAGGGTAGGGAGGTATGGGGGGGGAGGGTGAGAGGAGGAAGGGGGGGGGAGGTAGAGATATGGGTGGGGGAGGGAGGGGGGAGGGAAGAGGGAAGTGGGTGGGGAGGTGAGAGGGATGTGGTGGGAGGAGAGGGAGGGAAAGGGGTGGGGGAGGGTGAGAGGGAGGTATGGGAGGGGAGGGAGGTATGGTGGGGAGGGTGGGGGAGGGGAGAGGAGGTGGGTGGGGAGGAGGGAGAGGGAGGTATGGGAGGGGGAGAGGTGAGAGGGAGGTAGGGGAGGGTGAGAGGGGAGGTAGGGTGGGGGAGGGTGAGAGGGAGGTGTTGGGGGAATTCAGGGAGGGAGAGGGAGGGGGAAGGTGGGGGGAAGGTCTGGGAGAGAGAGGGAGAGGTGATGGGTGATGTTCATTTGTAAAGAAACAGTAAATATTTTTGTTCGGTGGTTGGGATCGTTGTATGCAAATAAACGAACACACACACACACACACACACACACACACACACACACACACACACACACACACACACACACACACACACACACACACACACACACACACACACACACACACACACACACACACACACACACACACAGTGATTTTTAGACATTTAAAAATATATATGTCAAAGCCACAGGAAATGTGCAATACAACCTCCGGAAAAAGTTAAAGAGAGAGAGAGGAGAGAGAGAGAGAGAGAGAGAGAGAGAGATACTCCATCCTCACTAAAGATACAAATACACTGGGTTTTTATTTACACATATTACATTTTTTTTTGACGAATATAAAACAAAAATCACTAACAAAATGATGATCTGTTTTGGAAATTAAAATATATGTGTTATTGTGTCTTAAAAATATGTGTTATATAATGTAAACTCACCTTAACCACTTGGGCCTATGAGTAGAGTTATGGTGTCGTGTGTATTGTAAGACTCTTATCTTCACTATCAGTACCATTATTCACTATCATCAACCTGTCATTATCATCATCATCATTATCATCATCACCAATCACTATAAATCACTATCATAGCTTACACAC